CACTCGCAAGCAGTAGCTGGGACCGCGGGAGAGAGGGGCGCAGACGCCGCAGCGCCGGAGGACGCGAGGAACGGGGACGGGGAGGCCGTGGCGCGTCATCACGGCGCGCCCGGGAGCGTGGCGGGTGACGTCACGGGCGCGACAACGGAGGGGGGAGGGGGGAACCCGGAAGTGCAGGGGAGCAGAAAAGGGCCGGGACGAGAGTGGCAAGGGGGAAGCAAGGAGGAGGAGAGGCGAGCCACGGGCAGAGGAGCCCCGAGAGGAGCGGCCCCGGACGGGAAGGCGGAGAGCGGAGCAACCCGGTAAGCGGGGCAGCGGCCGGCGGAGTGGAGTAGGACCCAGGGCGGGTCGTGTATCCCGGGAGCAGGTGCGTTTGGGGTGCTAGCCCCCCTGCTACCACCGAGAGGTACGCTCTCGGTGTTAGGGCCCTGGGTCGGGGTCCGGAGTGAGGGCGGGCCCGGACCCCCCACTCCGCCGAGGAGGTGCAAAAGTAAGCGGTGCATTGTGCACAACTGGATTACTAATAGACCGGGGGCGGCGGACTGTGCTGCGCCCCGCGACAGTCTCCCAGCTCCGGATCTGCAGAGCACTACCAGCCGTGCCCCACCCTGGAGCAGGGTGCAGAGACTGTAGCGGGGTGGGGGAGATGTTAACACCTTAGCTGCTGGGAGCTGCATGCCCAGGCTGGGCAGCGTCAGCCCCAGGGACGAGGAGCCCAGTGCGGTGTCATGCTGCCTGCTCCACTTGTCGGGCCGCCCCAGTCCCTCTGCACCTGCGCGTCCCCTGCCCTCCTCCACCGCTTGCCCTTCCAGAAGGAAGCTGTAGCTGATTCTCCAGTCTGCAGCTGCGTGGCGACCTCAAGGCTGCTGGGGGCTGAACTCCCACCGCACGTGCCACTCAAAATCGGCTTGCGCACCACTTAAGGAACAAGAGCCGTAGTTTGCCGACATCTGAACTAGATCATCAGAATGGCCCCTTTCTGTTTGAAAATCTAATTCTATCTTTCTCTGCTATATAAAAAGCCATCTAGTATCAGAAATCTCTTCCCATGTGGGTACTCACAAACAGCTGTCCCCCGTGAGACATCTTAACTGTCTCTTGGATAAACAAACTATATTTAGCATCTCTGTCACTACAGGGAAGATTTTCCAGTCCTCAAATCCTTCCTAAAACTCTTTTTGAAGTCTTTCCAATTTGACAACAAACTTTTGGCAGTGTGGACAACAGACCCAGACCCAGAATCAGAATATAAGAATGGCCATACTGTGTCAGACCAAAGGTTCATCTAGCCCAGTGTCCTGTCTGCTGACAGTGGCCAATACGAGATGCCCCAGAGGGAGGGATCACAACAGGTAATCCTCAGGTGATCTCTCTCCTGTCATCCATTTCCAGACAAACAGAGGCCAGGGACACTCTATCTAGCTCTTTTTTGAACCCTTTAAAGTCCTGGTCTTCACCACCTCCTCTGGAAAGGAGTTCCACGGATTGACTATGCACTGCATAAAGAAAAACTTCCTTTGGTTTGTTTTAAACCTGTTACCTATTTTTATTTGAAGACCCCCAGTTCTTATATTGTGGGAATAAGTAAATAGCTGTTCCTTATTCTCTTTATCCACACCAGTCAGGATTTTAGCGACCTAAAATGAAAAGTCCAACTCTTTTTAATCTCTCTTCATATGGGATGCATTCCAATCCCCTAGTCATTTTTGTTGCCCTTTTCTGAATATTTTGCATTGCCAATTGATATTTTTTGAGATGAGATGACCACATCTGTAGGCAGAATTCAAGATGTGGGCATGCCATGGTTTAATACTGAGGCAATAAGATAATCTATCTAGCTCTTTTTTGAACCCTTTAAAGTCCTGGTCTTCACCACCTCCTCTGGAAAGGAGTTCCACGGATTGACTATGCACTGCATAAAGAAAAACTTCCTTTGGTTTGTTTTAAACCTGTTACCTATTTTTATTTGAAGACCCCCAGTTCTTATATTGTGGGAATAAGTAAATAGCTGTTCCTTATTCTCTTTATCCACACCAGTCAGGATTTTAGCGACCTAAAATGAAAAGTCCAACTCTTTTTAATCTCTCTTCATATGGGATGCATTCCAATCCCCTAGTCATTTTTGTTGCCCTTTTCTGAATATTTTGCATTGCCAATTGATATTTTTTGAGATGAGATGACCACATCTGTAGGCAGAATTCAAGATGTGGGCATGCCATGGTTTAATACTGAGGCAATAAGATATTCTCTGTCTTAATCTATTTCCATAGACTCATAGACTCAGACTTTAAGGTCAGAAGGGACCAATATGATCATCTAGTCTGACCCCCTGCACAGTGCAGGCCACAGAATCTCACCCACCCCTCTTAGTATAATCCTCTCACCTATGTCTCATTCCATGTCTATTACTTCACGTTTATCAACATTAAATTTCATTTGCCATTTGGTTGTCCAATCACGTAGTTTGGTGAGATCTTTTTGAAGCTCCTCACTGCTCCTTGAGCAGTTTAGTATCATCTACAAGTTTTGCGACCTCACTGTTTATCCGTTTTTTCCAGATCATTTATAAATAAGTTGAATAGGATTGACCCCAGGACAAGCCTTTGGGAGACCCCACTAGTTAACGCTTTTCACTTGGAAAAATTACCATTTATTCCTACTCTTTGTTTCCTGTCTTAACCAGTTATCAATCCATGAAAGGACCTTTCCTCTTATCCCAGGACAACTTACTTTACTTAAGAGCCTTTGATGAGGGACAAATTATGTTCTAGGGATGTTAAATTGCGAGCAACTGACTAAGTGAATAGTCGATGCATTTTGCATCAACTATGCCACTAACGGCTAGGACGTCTCTGCCTTTGAAGCACAGAAACAGCTCTAGAGCTGCTACACTTTAAAGGACCCCACTAAACCCGAGACTCCAGGTGGCACAGCCGCTTTGAAACAAGTAGATTACACCCCGGAAGAGCTGGCGCAGAGCAATCTGCGCATGCGCAGAGCGCAGAACCACGCAACTAGCGAGCAGGGCTTGCTGCTGCTCGGCGAGCCCTGATGATAAATATAATAGGTCCCGAGTGACCTAGACAAATTTAGAGGATTTGGCCAAAAGAAATCCAATGAGGTTCAACAAGGACAAGTGAAGAGTCCTGCACTTGGGATGGAAGAATCCCAAGCATTGTTACAGGCTGAGGACCGACTGGCTAAGTAGCAGTTTGGCAGAAAAGGACCTGGGGATTACAGTGTGAGGAAACCATTTCACAACCATTTAGCTAGAAGCCATTCTGTATAACAAAAGCCATTTCAGTTTCTTGTGTCTGCACGTATACTAGAGGGAGTGAACTGACCTTCAGCGATGTAAGAAAAGGCCAGAAGGATGGGCTGTTGGAATGTGTTAATGAACTATTTTAAGCTGAAGCCCTTATTCCCTAAAACCTGTTTCTTTCCTTGCTGATAATAATTCCTCTTTGAAGTTCGCTATGATTTCTTGCCCTGACGTCAGACTTGTTTGGTTAAGGATATAAAATACTAGGATTGATTGTGCTGAACAGCCTTACCGGACCCGGCTCTGCTGGGGTCACGTTTGGCTCACTTTGCCTTATTAGAACATAAGAACGGCCGTACTGGCTCAGACCAAAGGTCCATCTAGCCCAGTATCCTGTCTACCGACAGTGGCCAGCACCAGGTGCCCCAGAGAGGGTGGACCGAAGACAATTATCAAGCGATTGGTCTCCTGCCATCCCTCTCCAGCCTCTGACAAACAGAGGCCAAGGACACCATTTTATCCCCTGGCTAATAGCCTTTTATGGACCTAACCTCCATGAATTTATCCAGCTTCTCTTTAAACTCTATTATAGTCCTAGCCTTCACAGCCTCCTCTGGCAAGGAGTTCCACAGGTTGACAACACGCTGTGTGAAGAAGAACTTCCTTTTATTAGTTTTAAACCTACTACCCATTAATTTCATTTGGTGTCCTCTAGTTCTTCTATTATGGGAACTAATAAATAACTTTTCTTTATCAGCCCTCTCCACACCACTCATGATTTTATAGACCTCTATCATATCCCCCCTCAGTCTCCTCTTTTCTAAACTGAAAAGTCCCAGTCGCTTTAACCTCTCCTCATATGGGACCCGTTCCAAACCCCTAATCATTTTAGTTGCCCTTTTCTGAACCCTTTCCAAGGCCAAAATATCTTTTTTGAGGTGAGGAGACCACATCTGTACACAGTATTCAAGATGTGGGCGTACCATAGTTTTATACAGGGGCAGTAAGATATTCTGGGTCTTATTTTCTATCCCTTTCCTAATAATTCCTAGCATCCTATTTGCCTTTTTGACCACCGCTGCACACTGTGTGGAAGTTTTCAGAGAACTGTCCACGATAACTCCAAGATCTCTTTCCTGATTTGTCGTAGCCAAATTAGCCCCCATCATACTGTACGTATAGTTGGGGTTATTTTTCCCGATGTGCATTACTTTACACTTATCCACATTAAATTTCATTTGCCATTTTGTTGCCCAATCACTCAGTTTGGTGAGATCTTCTTGGAGTCCCTCACAGTCTGCTTCTGTCTTGACTATCCTAAACAGTTTGGTATCATCTGCAAACTTTACTACCTCACTGCTTACCCCTTTCTCCAGATCATTTATGAATAAGTTGAAAAGGATTGGTCCCAGGACTGACCCTTGGGGTACACCACTAGTTACCCCTCTCCAATCTGAAAATTTACCATTTATTCCTACCCTTTGTTTCCTGTCTTTTAACCAGTTCTCAATCCAAGAAAGGACCTTCCCTCTTATCCCATGGCCATGTAATTTACACAAGAGCCTTTGGTGAGGGACCTTGTCAAAGGCTTTCTGAAAATCCAAGTATACTATATCTACTGGATCCCCCTTGTCCGCATGTTTGTTAACCCCTTCAAAGAACTCTAATAGATTAGTAAGACAGGATTTCCCTTTACAGAAACCATGTTGACTTTTGTCCAACAAATTATGTTCTTCTACATGCTTCACAATTTTATTCTTTACTATTGTTTCGACTAATTTGCCCGGTACTGAAGTTAGACTTACCGGTCTGTAATTGCCAGGATCGCCCCTTTTTAAATATTGGTGTCACGTTGGCTACCTTCCAGTCATTAGGTACAGAAGCTCCTCATTTTTGTGTAATTCCCCTTTTTGAAATTAAATGCCAGGGTGCTGGACTGCTGAGGTGTTCTTCCCACCAGAGGAATGTTGAATGTTATTATTTTATGGTCACTATTCCCAAGCGGTCCTGTAACGGTTATTTCCTGGACCTGATCCTGCACTCCACTCAGGACTAAATCGAGAATTGCCTCTCCCCTTGTGGGTTCCTGCACCAGCTGCTCCAAGAAGCAGTCATTTAAGCCATTGAGAAATTTTCTCTCTGCTTCTCTTCCTGAGGTGACGTGTATCCAGTCAAAATGGGGGTAATTAAAATCCCCCATTATTATAGAGTTCTCTATTTTGGTAGCCTCTCTAATCTCCCTCAGCATTTCAATGTCAGTATCACTGTCCTGGTCAGCCTTTGCTTCAACAAGTGGATGAGAAGCTGGATATAAGTCAACAGTGTGCCCTTGTAGCCAAGAAGGCTAATGGCATATTGGGGTGCATTAAGAGGAGCATTGCCAGCAGACCTAGAAAAGTGATTATTCCCCTTTATTCAGCTCTGGTGAGGCCACATCTGGAGTACTGAGTCCAGTTCTGGGTCCCCCACCACAGAAAGGACGTGGACGCATTGGAGAGGGTCCAGTGGAGGGCGACCAAAATGACTAGGGGGCTGGAGCACATGACCTATGAGGAGAGGCTGAGGGATTTGGGCTTATTTAGTATGCAGGAGAGAAGAGTGAGGGGGGATTTGATAGCAGCCTTCAACTTACTGAAGGAGGTTCCAAAGAGGATGGAGAAAGGCTGTTCACAGTAGTGACGGGTGGCAGAACAAGGAGCAATGATCTCAAGACCTTGGGGGGAGAGGGGGCGGGTCTAGGTTGGATATTAGGAAAAACTATGTTATTAGGAAGGTGTTGAAGTTGGAGGTCCTGCTTTGGTCAGAGGACTGGACTCAATAATCTCTTCCAGCCCTGGGATTCTAGGAGTCTATGACTGGAAAACCTGCCACACAGTGACAGACTCATGGAGCTCAATCTATTTAGCTTAACAAAAGGAAGATTAAGAAGTCACTTGATTAGAGTCTATAAGTACCTCAACAGGGAACAAGCATTTGATAATGGGATCTTCAGAGAAAGCTCTAACCAGATGCAGGTGTTGGAAGGCTTATTTGTTAATAGTGAGAGTAATTAACCATCGAGAAAATTACCAAATGTCATGGTGGATTATTATCGCAGGCAAGCTGTCCATCAAGCCTGGATGCTTTTCTAAAATATCTGTTCTAGGAATTATTTGGGGGCAGGTCCCTGGCATGTGTTATACAGGAAGTCAGACTAGATGACCACAGAGGTCTCTTCTGGCCTTGGACTTTATGAATTTATTTAAAAAATGGCTAATTTATAGTTATTACCATTGAAAGCAGCCTTGCGACTTAGGCTGTTGTTTGGGTCTCTCCCCTGCTACATGGTCTCATGGCAGTGAGTCTGGACACTAAGCAGGCACAGAATTCTCTTACTCTCTGTAGGAGCTTTCATGAGGCAACAGGAACATCTCCCTGCAGAGAGAGAAAGTGGTGCCCAAACAGCTCCCTAGAACCACAGGCAGGAGAGCAGACCCTCAAGGAAAGGGAAGAAGCAGGTCTTTAAACCAAAATGCAGGACAATGTAGCACTTTAAACCAGTTACTTGCCAGAACAACTGTAGTTCTCATAAGCAACAGACTCCAGAGATCCATAGGCAGGGGACGTATGTGTCCTGCATGCATCAGCACATCTCTCAAACAGCAACATCCATTGGGGCTGTGCACGTGCCCATTTCCTTACCTCAGCATACGCAGGAGAACGTGGCTGACCTACATATGATTTGCAGGAGTCACAGCTTGAGAGAGGAGGGATGTGACTTCTGCCACATTACTACTAGGGATGTGAATAAGTAACAGATTACCCAGTGAGCATCACCCTTACTGCTTGCTGCTTATCGGGTAACAGTTAACCAGTTCCCTGGTGGCAGTCCCCCCTCGGTGGCCTGCTGCAGGTGGAAAGAAGCTCCAGCCCTACCAGGTCCCCATACACATCTGCCAACCGGCAGCCTGCCCCATGCACCTGGGCCAGGAGCTGGCTTGGAGCCCTGTGCGCTGGGGACTGTTCCAGCTGGGCTGGGGGGTGTCCCATCCAGGATCCCACTTATTCAGTTAACCAGTTAAATGTTACAGCCTGCAGTGGAGCAGGAAAGGCACAAGCAAGCCATGAGACAAAACAATATGCCTGAGGGGGCTGAAGATCCCTGTCATTCGTATAGCACTGAGAAATGCCAAACTTCTGCAAAAGGGAGCTGAATTCTGATTGCTCCCAACTGTCCCTCCAAATGAGGAGCAGACGTGTCTGCTCTCCTTATAAGGCCCCTGCAAGAGTCAGAGGGCACAGAGAAGTAGAAAGGGTGCACACGAGCCCTATGATCTACTCCTCCAGACTTCCAGCTGGCATACACGCAGCAAGGATCTGGCAGGTTGCACTTGAAGAACTTTTATGCTCTTGGACAGAACCACTCAGTGTAACCAGGGAAAAACTGGGGACTACAGTTCAGCGTTGAGTACGACATGATTTGAAGGGGAGGTGAGAGCAAGTGAGTGAGAGATCTGGCTAAACACTAGGGCAAAAACCCTGAGTGTGAAGAACACACTGTACATTTCCAAACAGCCTGCGGCACTGGCAGAAAGGGGGCACCACACACACAGGGACAATACATCAAGGAGCTCACCAATCCTCTCCGATCTTATAGACGTAAATGATGTTGTCTGTTTGTCCAATGGCAATTTTGGTGGAGTCAGGAGAGAACGCCATGCCTTTCACCACGTAACTCTTCCTGCCATACTGGGGAGAGCAGAAGGAAGGAAACATGAACTGAGGATGAAGTTAATAAAACATGTCCCAGAAAAACCTCAAGACAGACTCAGAGTAAGGGTCACAGGTCAGCCCCGTCAGTGATGTAAAGGCCCATACAGGATACAAGCCAAACCCATTCCTATCCACCTTCATGGTGTGAGCTTCCTGCAGTTATGGACTACACTGATCTAGTGCTTCCAGGCACGTGGCTGTGGGTCATTGTTCCTACATTCAACATCTAGCAGGGTGGTTAATGAGAGTAACTAACCACTGGAACTTCCCAAGAGTCATGGTGTAGTCTCTGTCACTGACAATTTTCCAATCAAGACTGGATGTGTTTCTAAAGCTCTGTCCTAGGAATCAGTCTAGGGATGTTCTCTGGCATGTGGTCTACAGGCCAGACTACATGACCACAGTGGTTCTTGCTGGCCTTAGGATCTATGGAATGAGGGTGGGCCAATGTGAGCAAGATGACCCAGGCCAGCAATGTTATTACTTTATGGTCACTATTTCCAAGCAGTCCAGTTATATTTACCTCTTGAACCAGACCCTGTGCTCCACTCAGGACTAAATCAAGAATAGCCTCTCCCCTTGTGGGTTCCAGAACCAGCTGCTCCAAGAAGCAATCATTTAAGGTATCAAGAAATTTTATCTCTGCATCCCGTCCTGAGATGACGTGTACCCAGTCAATATGGGGATAGCTGAAATCCCCTGCTATTATCGAGTTTTTTAATTTGATAGCCCCTCTAATATCCCTTAGCACTTCATAGTCATTATCTCGGTCTTGAGCAGGTGGTCAATATATCCATACAGCTATATTCTTATTATTGGAGCATGGAACTACTACCCAAAGAGATTCTATGGAACATTTTGGTTCATTTAAGATTTTTACTTCATTTTCTTTCATATATGGTGCCACTTCCACACCAGCATGACCTGTTCTGTCCTTCTGATAGATTTTGTACCCTGGTATGATTGTGTCCCATTGGTGGTCCTCATTCCACCAAGCTTCTGTGATGCCTAGTATATCAATATCCTCCTTTAAAACTAGGCACTTCAGTTCACCCATTTTGCTATTTAGATTTCTAGCATTTGTGTATAACCAGAAGTAATTATACAGAACATTTCTTGAACATTCCCTCCCCAATTCTCTTTACAGTGGCATAGGGGCCATATATTTGTACACAACAGTTGGGGCTGTGCTTTAGGGCTAAGCAGAATACGGCATAACATTTCAAGCTGCTAGGAGCCCTCTGAGAAGTATGGAACAACTTCCGAGTTGCTCTGCTACTGCAAAAATCCACCCTGCAGTGTCTCTCAGCCCTAGCGCACACAGTGTGCCCGGTCACATGGAAAGAAACAGTCTTCTTACCTTGGCATCAGCAGGCTTGGTAGAGAATTTGTCTCTTCTTTCTCCATGCTCATCATACAAAAGCACGACCCTGTCCACGGTGCAGACAGCGAACTTGGCGTTGTTGTATGACCAAGCCATGCAGGTGACCTTGGCAGCACCATCCTGGGAGAAACCTGTCACTAGTCTTGAGCAGCCCCAAGAGGGCCCAGTGCCAGCTGCCTCTGGGGGTGGGTGGCGCCCAGGCAGGTCCCTCAGTTGCCTCAGGGGGGGGGTGCTGGACTCGATGACCTCTCGAGGTCCCTTCCAGTCCTATGATTCTATGATTCTATGATTGATCTGCCAACCGGCAGCCTGCCCCATGCACCTTGGCCAGGAGCTGGCTTGGAGCCCTGTGCGCTGGGGACTGTTCCAGCTGGGCTGGGGGGTGTCCCATCCAGGATCCCACTTATTCAGTTAACCAGTTAAATGTTACAGCCTGCAGTGGAGCAGGAAAGGCACAAGCAAGCCATGAGACAAAACAATATGCCTGAGGGGGCTGAAGATCCCTGTCATTCGTATAGCACTGAGAAATGCCAAACTTCTGCAAAAGGGAGCTGAATTCTGATTGCTCCCAACTGTCCCTCCAAATGAGGAGCAGACGTGTCTGCTCTCCTTATAAGGCCCCTGCAAGAGTCAGAGGGCACAGAGAAGTAGAAAGGGTGCACACGAGCCCTATGATCTACTCCTCCAGACTTCCAGCTGGCATACACGCAGCAAGGATCTGGCAGGTTGCACTTGAAGAACTTTTATGCTCTTGGACAGAACCACTCAGTGTAACCAGGGAAAAACTGGGGACTACAGTTCAGCGTTGAGTACGACATGATTTGAAGGGGAGGTGAGAGCAAGTGAGTGAGAGATCTGGCTAAACACTAGGGCAAAAACCCTGAGTGTGAAGAACACACTGTACATTTCCAAACAGCCTGCGGCACTGGCAGAAAGGGGGCACCACACACACAGGGACAATACATCAAGGAGCTCACCAATCCTCTCCGATCTTATAGACGTAAATGATGTTGTCTGTTTGTCCAATGGCAATTTTGGTGGAGTCAGGAGAGAACGCCATGCCTTTCACCACGTAACTCTTCCTGCCATACTGGGGAGAGCAGAAGGAAGGAAACATGAACTGAGGATGAAGTTAATAAAACATGTCCCAGAAAAACCTCAAGACAGACTCAGAGTAAGGGTCACAGGTCAGCCCCGTCAGTGATGTAAAGGCCCATACAGGATACAAGCCAAACCCATTCCTATCCACCTTCATGGTGTGAGCTTCCTGCAGTTATGGACTACACTGATCTAGTGCTTCCAGGCACGTGGCTGTGGGTCATTGCTCCTACATTCAACATCTAGCAGGGTGGTTAATGAGAGTAACTAACCACTGGAACTTCCCAAGAGTCATGGTGTAGTCTCTGTCACTGACAATTTTCCAATCAAGACTGGATGTGTTTCTAAAGCTCTGTCCTAGGAATCAGTCTAGGGATGTTCTCTGGCATGTGGTCTACAGGCCAGACTACATGACCACAGTGGTTCTTGCTGGCCTTAGGATCTATGGAATGAGGGTGGGCCAATGTGAGCAAGATGACCCAGGCCAGCAAATGTTATTACTTTATGGTCACTATTTCCAAGCAGTCCAGTTATATTTACCTCTTGAACCAGACCCTGTGCTCCACTCAGGACTAAATCAAGAATAGCCTCTCCCCTTGTGGGTTCCAGAACCAGCTGCTCCAAGAAGCAATCATTTAAGGTATCAAGAAATTTTATCTCTGCATCCCGTCCTGAGATGACGTGTACCCAGTCAATATGGGGATAGCTGAAATCCCCTGCTATTATCGAGTTTTTTAATTTGATAGCCCCTCTAATATCCCTTAGCACTTCATAGTCATTATCTCGGTCTTGAGCAGGTGGTCAATATATCCATACAGCTATATTCTTATTATTGGAGCATGGAACTACTACCCAAAGAGATTCTATGGAACATTTTGGTTCATTTAAGATTTTTACTTCATTTTCTTTCATATATGGTGCCACTTCCACACCAGCATGACCTGTTCTGTCCTTCTGATAGATTTTGTACCCTGGTATGATTGTGTCCCATTGGTGGTCCTCATTCCACCAAGCTTCTGTGATGCCTAGTATATCAATATCCTCCTTTAAAACTAGGCACTTCAGTTCACCCATTTTGCTATTTAGATTTCTAGCATTTGTGTATAACCAGAAGTAATTATACAGAACATTTCTTGAACATTCCCTCCCCAATTCTCTTTACAGTGGCATAGGGGCCATATATTTGTACACAACAGTTGGGGCTGTGCTTTAGGACTAAGCAGAATACGGCATAACATTTCAAGCTGCTAGGAGCCCTCTGAGAAGTATGGAACAACTTCCGAGTTGCTCTGCTACTGCAAAAATCCACCCTGCAGTGTCTCTCAGCCCTAGCGCACACAGTGTGCCCGGTCACATGGAAAGAAACAGTCTTCTTACCTTGGCATCAGCAGGCTTGGTAGAGAATTTGTCTCTTCTTTCTCCATGCTCATCATACAAAAGCACGACCCTGTCCACGGTGCAGACAGCGAACTTGGCGTTGTTGTATGACCAAGCCATGCAGGTGACCTTGGCAGCACCATCCTGGGAGAAACCTGTCACTAGTCTTGAGCAGCCCCAAGAGGGCCCAGTGCCAGCTGCCTCTGGGGGTGGGTGGCGCCCAGGCAGGTCCCTCAGTTGCCTCAGACCTGTCACTGTCTTGAGCAGCCCCAAGAGGGCCCAGTGCCAGCTGCCTCTGGGGGTGGGTGGCGCCCAGGCAGGTCCCTCAGTTGCCTCCAGGGGCGAGGCCGGTCTCCAGGGGGGGCCCCGGCAGGTTCTCCAGCT